GCTCCCAGGACACACACCCAGCCCTGCCCCTCCTGGAAATGCCTGAAGAAAAGGTGAGAATGTCCCTCCTGGATGGTTCCCAGGTGGGGACTGGGAGGTAAGGGGAGTGAAAGATGCTGCTTTCCCTGCTTCCCAATGGTCTTGTTATATACCAAGGAGGTACCACTGCCTGGGGAGATCCTGCCCCCAACAATACATAGTTACATTCATGATGGGTCCCACTTGGCCGTAGATAGAAAATGTGGCTCTGTGTGAGACATGATTTTAAAGACAAGTAGAGAATACACACACTGACACACAAGTCTTCCAGTCTCCAAAACATTTCCCATTAGACGTGCTCCCTTGAATCGCCCTATTGGCTCCAAAAATTAGACATTGTTAAAATGCAGGCTACTTGCATTCTTTGAACACAGTAACGCACAGGTAGCCTGGCCTGCTACTGATACAACGGAGACAGACACATGAATGCTAAGATTCTTTAAAAATGAGATACAATTTATGTACCATAAAATTCACCCTTTTAAAGCGTAAATTTTAGTGGTTTAGTATATTTACAAAGTTGTATGAACATCACCAATATCTAATTCCGGAATATTTTCATAACCTCAAAAAGAAACGTCATACCCATCAGCCTTCACTCCTCACTCCACCCTCCGCCAGCCCCGCAACCACCAGTCTCTCCTCAGTCTCTCCTTTCTGTCCCTGTGGATGTGCCTATTCTGGAAATTTCATGTGAGTGGAATCATAATATTTGGCCCTTTGTGCCTGGCTTTTTTCATTTAGTATAATGTTTTCAGGCTCATCCATGTTGTAGCATGAATCAGTACTTTATTCCTTTTTATGACTAAATAATATTTCGTTGTGTGAAAATACTCTATGTTGTTTTTCCATTCATTAGTTGATGGACATTTGGGATTTTTCCACTTTGGGGTTATTATAGATAATGCTGCTAGAAATGTCCATGTGCAGATCTTTATGTGGATACATGTTTTTGTTTATCTTAGGTACATACCTAGGAGTGAAATTTCTGGGTCATGTGGTAACTCTATGATTAACATTTTGAGAAACTACCAAACTGTTTTCCAAATCATTTTACATTCTCACCAGCAATGTATGAGTTCCCAATTTCTCCACATCCTCACCAAAACTTATTATTGCCTGTCTATTTTATTATTGCCTGGATGAATGTGAAGTGGCATCTCATTGTGATTTTGATTGGTATTTCCCTAATGACAAATAATGTTTAGCATCTTTCCATTGCTTATTGGCTGCTTGAATGTCTTCTTTGGAGAAATGTCTTTTCAAATTCTTTGCCTATTATTTAATCTGGTTATTTGTCTTTGTATTGTTGAGTTGTAATCGTTCTTTATATATTCTGGATACTAGATTCAGTTAGATATATTATTTGCAGGGCCGAGCCCGTGGCGCACTCGGGAGAGTGTGGCACTGGGAGCGCAGCAGCGCTCCC